GCGCGCACGTAAACAAGCACTACAAGGAACGCCTGTCATATCTTAGATTAGGTGCGATAAAATCGAATATAAACCAACACAATCGAATATTTAACGTGCTCCCTTGCAGCAACGAGAAATATTTGTAAAAATTCAAAAAGCAAGCTACAGGGATCTGCAGTTATTTGCTGCGAACCAATGGAGGGTAGGGAGGAAATAAATACTCCAAGAAAAACCAGAATGCTTAGCAGACTATGCATTTTAAAACTCTGGTCTTTCAAAATTTATATTTTTTTCAAATAGTCCTTTCTTCGGTAGCATTTCGTTCACGTTAAGATTGAATTTGCAAACAAATGAACGAAACTTCGTGCAGACCTAAAATGGACCGAAATCACGCGCGTCAGCCAATCAGCGTGCGCGTTAATCTCAAATATTTTACTTTAAAAAACAATATAAAACGGATGCTCATATATCTGTATTGTGATATAAACACTCTGACAGCTGTAAAGCAATAGAAAAGCAAAAGAAACAGCAAACAGTCGGCTACGCCTCGTGTTCCTAAGCTTGCTTCTCCTTTGTGCTCTACAGCTCCCAGCGTGTTTATATCACAGTACAGAGACATGCGCGCGCGATATATATATATTCCTTAAATAAAATATACAAAACGTTTGAGTCCTCGGATATACACGTAAACTAATAAGATTTTCTTTGGCAGTCTGTGACAAAAATGGATTAGAAACACCAACAAAGCAAAGAAACATAGATATTCAAGGTTGTACCATAGTTAATTAACTATGGTTGTATCTTTATTTTAACTATCACTTTCACAAATCAACAGTTTGCATCGTCTCTTTATAACTTTAATTTATTAAACCCTTTTTCTTATCTACGAATTATGATAGTTGTCCTAGCTTATTTAAGAACAAAATCATTCAGTATCCATGTCCGTTAAAATGGCTTTACTTTTTATAGGTTAAAAGATGCAGGGACTGTTTCTATCGCGGGCTTATCAGCAGCCTTCACTATAGCAGCATTGACCCCAGGGACATCCACACCACCAGCAAGGACAACAGCTTCTCCCTGGAAGAATACAAATTGTACAAGTATGCATGTGAATTAATCATGTCTTTGAAAAAACAATAAATAACGATGAAAACCAAGAAAATACGTTTGCTGGTCAAAAACGAGGAAGGGACTGTTTAGTTTTGCACCTAACATCCTCGATAAATGCTTCATAATGGAGTACCGATGCATAGAAAAAGGTCAAATAGGCTTGAATGGAAACTGTGAATGAAAATACCTGAAGCCCGGTTTAACGAAGAATGTAATTAGTGCTCTTCACGGACTCGTTACTCTATTTACCCCTTACCAACACTGACAAAGACACATGTACATATACACACACAAAACAAAGCTACCTTCCTAGCCCTTCCCAACAAAAAGACACAGGGCTTGCACACTACAAACATACACACACGAGGGAAAGCTACGTTCCTAACCCACCAAAGTTCTCGTATGAGTTGATACAGGCTTATACTGCGAAATAAAAAATTTACAATAACGATACTATAAACTATAAACAATAACGGTGCTTTACTTACTTTTTGCCATGCTCCCATCTAGAAAAGGAAGAGAATAAAGCCAGAAAAGAATAATAAAAAAGACAAATTGAAATAATAAGGGAGTTATAAAATTGCTTGTTAGAAGTGCTCTTCTAAATTACGTTAACTACTTTTTTCTCAGGAAACACTTAAGTAAATCCACAAGCAGAAAATTTTATAATTTTTCCACTATTTTTCATCGTCGATAAAAGGACAGACCAATAAGCCGAGCGTGCGCTCTTTCTGTTGGTTGTTTTGATCACCAAGAAAACGTCGAAAAAACGGTTTTAGTGAATTTTTTGTGGTAAACAATATTTACTATGGTCTGTACTGTTATGTACATGGAATGGCGTCAGCATATGACCCAAACTTTGCATTGAAAGCACAACTCACTGCGCTCGTGTTACAGACTATAGAAAAGCTACCTCGCTTTGCTAATTATTTCTTTACCAAAATTTCAAGAAAAAGACATAATCATACCTTGGTAGCCCTGTATGATGTCTCTAAATGACGGTTCATCTAGGAGGAAAAAAGGTATATTTAAATCGGGGCGGGTAGCTTTTCTTTCACGGGTTTTAATTCGAAAGCGTTGATTCCACTGTTATTGTTATTTTTGCACCCAAACTAACCGTGAGCCAGGTCTCTAACAATATTGGCATTACAGCTTCACTTGTCCACCAACATTTTTTATATCAAGATACATAACGTCTCCTCTTCTCTCTCTGTCTCCATTTTAGAAACTTACCATGGGAATCTTGTTCTTGTTCAATGCTTGCAGCTGAAATGACAAGCATGAAGGCTGCGCCGAGCATCAGAAAAACCAAAAGACGGTTCATTGTTGCTTTCTATTAAAAAAGATCACGAAAATCATCCTTGCGTACTTAGTAAGGTACGTTCTACGTTCATGAGCATGTAAAGCTGCTGACAAACAGTTAAGCACCCATTTTTACAAAACGCATATCTACACAGGCGTGTCTTACTCGATGAAAATGCTTTGTGTTTAGCTAGTTAAATTTTTCGTAAAAGAAACTGACCACTTTACAATAAATGACAAAAGAATTCAGGAGGGTATGGCATGGCCCTATCCTCTGCTATAGCTTTGAGCCTACAACTTTAAAACTCACACTGTTGTACATAAGGTTTACTATACTGTATTTCTTGTTTGCCCATTTTACATCATCAAACGAAAAAGGGGCCCATTTGAGAACTTGTATATTTTTACAACGAAGAATCCTAAGAAGAAATGATATCTATCGGACTTACTTGAATCAGAATTTGACAGTTGTCTTGGTTGATGTTTCCTTCTTGGCTTCCGAAGCAATAATAGAACAGCTACAGAGGAATGGGTAATTATATAGACAAAAAAGGTGGAATTATCATTACCAACTACTTTAATTTTTGACTGAGCATAATGATGGCTCAAGCAAAACAATTTTCATTCATGGGCAATTTCTTATACATAAGCGCTTTGGGCAAGTAGTTATTATTATCCTTATACATGTGTTGTTATAATTATTGATTGAAATTTTTATTTTTCATTGTTAAAATAAAAGCTTATTATTATCACTATTATTATTTCAATATACATAATATATAATTTCTGCTTTGAACAAGCGGAGTTTGTTTTGAAAGGTAGCTTATCTTAAGCAAAACGCCAGCCAACGCTTTGGTACTTTGAATTCTGCTTTGAATCCCGCGGGTCTACTACCCATAATGCACCCGATATAGTTATATACTATATACTTGGTTGGATCAGAATTTCTGCATATCGCTGTATATATATATCATTTATATATCAATCAATTTCAAGTAGCCAGTTGTTAATTGCCTATACGTAGAGAGATTATTATTATTATTATTATTCCTTTATTATTATTATTCCTTTATTGCACAGCAAAATAAGAATATAACTCTTTTGCTGGTATGCATTAACCTTCAGCTCGAGATTATTATTATTATTATTATTATTATTATTATAATTATACAAAGGTAGTTAGGTCTATAACGCGTCATACTTCACTTTACCAAGGATAACAAGCAAATACTCATCCGTTTACTTCACTTTTATTCTGTTGAATTTTTTCTCATACGTCTTTTTGGATTCAACTTTGCACGCACTGACAATAAATCCTCATTACGAATCCAATTAGAATGGTTTGTTAATCGATTTTTGTCATATACATTATACTTTCATATATCCACCCACGACAGGCGTTTAGTAGCTTGATCCAAATCATTCAATTTAAATCAAAACAAAAACAATAAATAATTTATTAGGATCATAGTGCGACGAAACCGGCCTCGAAGCGCCCTAAAAAGTGATAATGGTTTTCCCGTGGAAAGCATTGAGCAGGATGTATCTTTTGCTGTATAACGTTTATATTTAAAATAATTGTGTAGCTAGAGCTGAATACCAGCGCAATACACACACTATGCTTTATGCATATGCATTTACCCCAAGGCCTTGTTGTGTGCGAGCCAGAGCAATTATTGACCACCTAATACTTTCAACAAAGAATACAAAAATAAAAAGACATTAAAACACTGATGATCAATTGAAACATAAGTTCTCATTTCCATTTTACTGTCCCTTCTTGCATGATTTGCCCCTCGACGTTAGTCAGCAAATTGTTTACAAGTTCGTGTGTATCCATGTTGCTTTACTGAACATTTCTTTATGCGCTTAACGAGCAGCTAGCTTCTTTGTAGCTCTTTTTCTTCATGCTGCTCGGTTCGATGGGGTTTTCTGGGCGCGTTACCCTTTAACTTCAAATTGCAAATACGCAGACGGGAAAAATCTTCTAGATCCTTTAAGGGAGAGATGAGATTTTTTGAATAATCATGTTTTAACTGAATTCGGAAAGTAATATTAAACTCAGAGTGCTGTTAAGCGTTAGTTTTATTACCCATTGTCTCAATTTTTTTAAGCCAAAGTTTCTATAAATCGCGCTTGAGATCTTGGAGGATGAGTACTTTCTCAAGGTTTAGAAAATTTGAAGAAAATCTGTAAGATCATTTTCGATAAATTTAATATTGAGAGTTTGAAGCATAGAAATTTTTCAAAAAAGAAAGCATTTCAATTACGTCGTAGTTCATTTGCCTGTTTATAGTTTTACAGTTTTCCGTACTTTTATTTTGTTGATTACTTTGTGTGTTTGATTTCTTCATACATGTCTTTCCGAGTTCTCTTCATATCAACCTTGCAAGCAAAAAAAATCCGCATTATATTCAGTGACCTTCTAGATAGAATAGTTTGTTAATCAATTGTTGTCATATTTATTAGGGTTTCATATTTTCATCGACAACAGGCGATCTTATTTTTAAAAGATTTGGCGTCGTCCAAATCATGAAATTTAAACCAAAACAAACAAAACAAAAAAAAAAACAAAAAAAAAACCAAAGACCTAATGCCTCCTTTTTTTTTCGTAAAATGACCATTTCAAATCAAGTGATGTTTACATTATGTTTCTTTCAAATGTTTTAATATCCACATGAATACGAATGAATACATTTCAGAAAGGTAAAGGAACAATTCTCTAGAGAACATCACGTAAACATCAAATGGTTTCAAACGGGGAATTTACATACGAAGGTAATTAGGTGTTTAACGTGTCGTGATTTACCATTTGATTTTTACTTTTATTCTGTTGTTTAAATATTCGTCCAAGATTTGGGCAAGTGGTATTAAGGGCGACTGATTTTCAGAAGTTAACGACCGATTACTGTTTTTCTCATGCATGTCAAGGCTAGTAGTAATTGCATGTAGCTAATTAAAACCAGTGCAGTACACACACTATGCTTTATGCATATGCATTTACCTCAAGGCCTCGTTGTTGTCGAGCTGGAGCAATTATTGACCACCTATTACCTTCAACAAAGAATACCCTATTCCACAGGAAAAAGTTATCACCTTTTGTTTTAGAGAGCAAGGAGGGAGTTCGATAAAAGCATTAAAGAAAAATGGTCTATTCAGAAATAGAAAGCATTACAAAACTGATGATCAATTGAAGCATAGGTTCTCATTTCCATTTTACTGTCCCTTCTTGCATGATTTGCCCCTCGACATTAGTTTACACGTTCGAGTGTACGCATGTTGCTTTACTGAACATTTCTTTATGCGCTTAAGGTGGAACCAAACTAATTTTGGACAATTTTATTTTCGCTCCCTTCGCAAAACTAGCGCGTCAATTCAACTGGATTTTTCATATAATGTGCTTGGAATATCCTAGATTCAAACAGCGTATTCTATATTAAGATTTTAAAATTGTTTAGCCTATTACGGCCGAAAATCAAGCAGTGCTATTTTTAGTTTTTGGCTTTTTTGGAATGGAAAGCCTTGGGCAGAAAAAAAGTTATAGAGTGCGCGCTCTAAACCCGTGAAACAAGTAGTACTAATTAGTACTAAATAAGAATTCAGTAGTCTAGTCTAAACCAAGGATTCAGGCATAACACATTGATCAACACAAAACTCGACTTCATAGTCTAGTGTCTGGTGAATTATTTTTATTTGTTTAAAAGCTAGAGAGTGAAGACACAAGACGCAATTAAAGGGAGCTAAAATAATAATGCAAAACGCACAAGACACATGAAAAATAACAACCCAATACGCAAATAAAATCGCTGGCTACCCACTTTATTCTCACAAAGAGCTAAAAAATCAAGACGCGAGACACACCGTAAACTAAGATGAAAACCCAATACGCAAATAAAATCGCTGGCTACCCACTTTATTCTTCACAAAGAGCTAAAAAATCAAGACGCAAGACACACCGTAAACTAAGATGAAAACCCAATACGCAAATAAAATCGCTGGCTACCCACTTTATTCTTCACAAAGAGCGCAGTAAAAAATCAAGACGCAAGACACACCGTAAACTAAAATGAAAACCCAATACGCAAATAAATTCAGATGCAACCGGTAGAAGCTGCACAATCTAAAGAAAGTGTACAAGTTATGCCAAATCAACCGGTGGGCACTAAAAGAACTGGATTTGGCCCTCAGATTGAGCAACTTAGCAACATCTTACCGAGGTCGACCCTTGCTGCGTTGTTGACCCAAGAAGGCGACATTAATTCTGTGGTCAACCTAGTTTTCACGAACAAGGAAAATCAAGGGAATGACTGTGGCGATAACTGCGAAGCAAGGATCACCGTCGACGAAATATGTTGGGCTGAGACAGAGAAAGCGCAATCCATAGCCGCGAAGACGACAATAACAGCTGTCACCTTGAAGGAAATTCTCAACAGCGCAGAGGAGAATGAACGCCAAGCCTCGGTGGGCAAAATACTGTCTTTCCATCGTCCGGAAAAAAGTACGGTGTCCTTTTCCAGCATTAGTGAAAGCATGGAGGTAGAGAAGAATGGCGCATTTTGTCCTTATTGTTTCAACCCTCTCAAGCAATTCGATTTTCATTTCTGTCCTTATTGTGGGATGCTTTTAAAAAAGAATTATCGTCGCCTTTAATTAACAAGACACGATGAATGCTCCCAGTTTCAGTTGCAAATAGACTTTAGAATTGTTCAGATTCTCAAGTAAGTCTAAAACGAAGACTGTGGATCTCGAGAAAAAAAATTGTTTGTGTATAATTTCTCATTCGACGTAAGTAGATGGACTCTTGACTAGACTTTGAGCAAAAAACTATTCTTCTGTAAAAAGATTGCTTAATTTGTCTACATGCATGAATAAATTGTTATTACGGTTGTTACGCATCACTTATTTCTTATGTATTATTAGACTAGACTGTTTGAGTGCACTCTTACACATAGTACTAATAGCGCAGCGCAGCCATGACGTCATAAAATCGAAGACAAAGGCGAAATTCCGACAAACAAACTTACAAGTTTACTTTCAGCAGATAATTTTCAGAGCCGATCGCAGTTGATCTTAGTTTACATGGGTTATTATTGTAACTTTAAGTAAAAATAATAAAATCGGTTTGTATAATCCTTGTAGCGGTTAAACAGAATGCAATGTTTGTCCGAATCTTTAAGCTATTTTTAGAATGAGCGCGCTGCGCTATTAGTACTATTCAATGTTCACGGTTTTAGTGCGAGCACTCTAATGCCGCTTGAAAATTCGATCCAAACTGTAAAGCATATAAGACATCGCTCTGTAGAAACATTACCATTGAATGGATTACCTCGAAGTTTTCATATATCTATTTCCAAGCTACAGAGGAATGGGCATTAGACAAAAAAGCCGGTGGAATTATCATTACCAACTACTTTAATTTTTGAGCATAATCATGGCTCAAGCAAAAAAATTTTCATTCATGGGCAATATTTTATACATAAGCGCTTTGGGCAATTAGTTATTATTATTATTATTGTTATTATTATTATTATTATTATTATCATCATCATCATTATTAATATTATTCCTTTATTGCACAGCAAAATAAGAATATAACTCTTTAGCTAATATGCATTTACAGGGGCGGCGGAAGCTGAAAAATTTTGGGGGGGCACTCCAATATTTCACGGTACCTTGAAATGACCCCCCCCCCCTCCCCTCCCTGTTTAGCTTGATTACAAACGTGTATGTGTGATATTTCAATCAGTAACATTTTGCGCGCATTAAACCACTTGCAATTGTGCTGAGAGACACAAAAATGATGCAAGTCGTCGCTAGATATATCGTATATTTTTTAGATACAGAACATTATGTAATATCAAAATAATAAATAATGGTAATCATAACCAAATCTCATGCGTTTTTTTTTTGTGTGAGGCATTATATTCTGGGGGGCCAGGCCCCCCCAAAAAATCTAGTGGGGGGGGGCCAGTGCCCCCCCGCTTCCGCCGCCCCTGATTTAACATTTAAAGGTAGTTAGGTCTATAACGCGTCGTACTTCACTTTACCAAGGATAACAAGCAAATACTCATCCGTTTACTTCACTTTTATTCTGTTGAATTTTTTCTCATACGTCTTTTTGGATTCAACTTTGCACGCACTGACAATAAATCCTCATTACGAATCCAATTAGAATGGTTTGTTAATCGATTTTTGTCATATACATTATACTTTCATATATCCACCCACGACAGGCGTTTAGTAGCTTGATCCAAATCATTCAATTTAAATCAAAACAAAAACAATAAATAATTTATTAGGATCATAGTGCGACGAAACCGGCCTCGAAGCGCCCTAAAAAAAGGTGATAATGGTTTTCTCGTGGAAAGCATTGAGCAGGATGTATCTTTTGCTGTATAACTTTTATATTTGAAAATAATTGTGTAGCTAGAGCTGAATACCAGCGCAATACACACACTATGCTTTATGCATATGCATTTACCCCAAGGCCTTGTTGTGTGCGAGCCAGAGCAATTATTGACCACCTATTACCTTCAACAAAGAATACCGAAATAAAAGAACATTACAAAACTAATGATCAATTGAAACATAAGTTCTCATTTCCATTTTACTGTCCCTTCTTGCATGATTTGCCCCTCGACGTTAGTTTACACGTTCGAGTGTACCCATGTTGCATTACTGAACATTTCTTTATGCGCTTAAAAACTATTGTTTAGTTTTTTAAAATGAGAGTACTTCGGGCCGGCTACTTGGCGAAGACTTTGTTTACTTGATTATTCATCGCTGTTGCGACCTTTTGTTGCATACGCGTGTGATGAGTGAGCTAGTCGATGCTTCGTTGCTTTCGGAATCATTTTCCGACTTTAGTAAAATTAGCAACATCACACTGGAAAAGCGATGAATAATCAAGTAAACAAAGTCTTCTCCAAATAGCGGGCCCGAAGTACTCTCATTTTAGGTCGAATTTTGAAAGCGTTAAAATGATTCAATGAAAATGAAACTTTGGTATTATGATGCTAACATATTGTGGTTAATGTTGCGAAAATTAGAAAAAAATTCATCGGGCCGTTTTCAAGCTACATTTATGCTAGTATTATAATACATTAGCTACAAAATACGGCTCATAGTGACCTCAAGTCTATCGGATATTTTGGAAAATCAAATGGCTCTATTTCTTTTAATTTTCTTGTCATTATTCTAAAGGGATTTCAAAAAAGGATCTCCAAATTAGTAAATTAACTGTTTTTCGATGAGGTTACAAAATTGTTTTGTTTTTGCAAGATTATTATGTCTAAAAGCTTTAACGTCAAATATCTCGTGAAACGCTCATATAAATTTCCTTCAAATTTTCTGAAGTTTGAGCAAATCATATTTACTCCACTATATTAAGCGCGATTTCAAAACTTAAGTCAAAAAATGGAGAAAAAGAGCAGTAAAGCAAAGCCACCAACGCTGACTAGCGGCTGTGAGTTAAATGCGATTTTCGTGAAAACCTGTTCATTCGAAAATTCTATCCTTCTCTGAAAACCTGGGAAGTTTTATTTTCTAATGATTTGTTTGCGTCCGCGTAATTGCGCTTCGAAATTGAAAGGTAGCGCGCCGAAATTATCCAATCAAGCCACCTTAAGGTGGAACCAAACTAATTCAGAGCGAATTTTGGACAATTTTATTCTCGCTCCCTTCGCAAAAGTAGCGCGTCAATTTAACTGGATTTTTCATATCATGTGCTTGGATTATCCTAGATTCTAACAGC